ATATATATCAAATTAGTATAAAAGGCGATATATGCCAATTATACGAATATGAGATATATTATTTTGACAAAATATTTATACCTAAACAAACAACGAAAGTACAGCTATGCTGGGGAGCTTTCGAAACTCTGTCTCTTTATCAACCCGATTCAGGTCTCGTCTTGGAGTTCTCTTCTCACGTGACTTGATGGGATAATCACGTGACAAGAGATAGTCATATACAGGTTTTAGGTATAGGTTTTAGATATATTCTTGGTCATAATCACTATAATTACACAAAAGCTACTTGTTATCCTAACGCAAAATTCTTTACAGATCAAGAAAAAGTAGTCTACATGTAATAGATGGACAACTTCTTTTCCCCGGTTTTTCCCTATTGGTCTCAAGACTAACCCTATCTGATAGCCACCGATTAGTTTGGCAGCTCCGGCCGTGTATAAATGTCCTCTGAGCTGAATAGATAACAGATGAATGTATGAATAGATAAAAGTAGATGCAATTGTTACAGTCAAGTTGTGTTTCGTTCTGCTTACCTTACACCAATTCTACAAAGTGTCACGGACAGGTCATTTCTTTGAAGGCTCTGATGAACCAAGAGTTTACAGATAGAATGTTTAATCTAAGATATGAGGTGCAAGATACTGCCAAGAAGGCGACTCTAGTAGTACATCTCGGTTCATTTCCACTCTTTGAAAACACCACAAGTCTTTCTTGGTTAGATACGTAAGTCTTTCCTGGTTAGATATGTAAATTAACTTAGAAATATACGTTGTCTCGTTTATATGCTCCATACGATAGACTATATATCACATTAGTATAGAAGGCGATATATGCCAATTATACGAATATGAGATATATTCTTGTGACAAAATACTTATACCTAAACACACAACGAAAGTTCAGCTATGCTGGGGAGCTTTCGAAACTCTGTCTCTTTATCAACCCGATTCAGGTCTCGTCTTGGAGTTCTCTTGTCACGTGACTTGATGGGATAATCACGTGACAAGAGACAGTCATATACAGGTTTTAGTTATAGGTTTTAAATATATTCTTGGTTATAATTACAATAATTACACAAACGCTACTTGTTATCCTAACGCAAAATTTTTACAGATCAAGAAAAAGTAGTCTACATGTAATAGATGGACAAATTCTTACCCCCGGTTTTTCCCTATTGGTCTCAAGACTAACCCTATCTGATTAGTTTGGCAGCTCCGGCTGTGTATAAATGTCCTCTGAGCTGAATAGATAAAAGATGAATGTATGAATAGATAAAAGTAGATGCAATTGTTACAGTCAAGTTGTGTTTTGTTCTGTTTACACAGGGAACCAATTCTTACAAAGTGTCACGGACAGGTCATTTGTTTGAAGGCTCTGATGAACCAAGAGTTTACAGATAGAATATGCGATCTAAGATATGAGGTGCAAAATACTGCCAAGAAGGCGACTCTAATAGTACATCTCGGTTCATTTCCACTCTTTGAAAACACCACAAGTCTTTCCTGGTTAGATACGTAACTTAACTCAGATATATATGTTGTCTCCTTTATATGCTCCATACGAACTATAAGCCCCATTGCACACATTCACCTTCGTATGGTATTGATCATACTGAAGATGCAAATTTAGTATGTATGTTCCACCAGTGGGGTTACTACCTTACTAAAGTTCTCAAAGGACTACAGCCCTTGTAAGGGCATGTCCTGACTGCACATGTATGTTACTTAAAGCTGAATCAATGCATAATAATCATAATAATCACGTCGCACTTTTTGGTTGTGTTAAGGCACGTTTACACAAGTGTAATTTACTTGCCCAGATACATGGTCATGGGCACGGCCACGGCAATGCTGATGACGTACATGACAAGGCAGAGCCTGTCCAGGACCTTAGCCAGCAGGGTGTAGTCAGACACCTCCTGCTCGGTCTTCATGGCCTCGGCCTGCTCATCCATGTTACGGGAGGCGGAGGACACGGCAACCTCCAGGCGTGAGACCGCGGCCTCCAGGCGCGTGTGCGGCGCGGGCGGCTGAGGGGCTGTCTCGCGGACATCAGCCGGGCTTTGCACGTCGACCACCGCCTTGGCATCGGCAGGGGAGACGCGGTTGGTCCGCTCAGGCCAGGCCAGCTTCTTGCTGCTGGGACCAGTCTCTCCATCGTCGCTTGCAACCTTCTTCTCTGTCAGATCTCCGAGCAGTAGGCACCTTAACAAACACCACCAAGAAAAAATGATGTCAATGTTTCTTTCTGATACATACGTTCACTCGTATATCAATAGGCATGTCCAAACGTACAGATTACTTCATGTTTAAAGTAGAAGTAATGAATAAAATGTTAAAATGTTACCGAGGTTGATACTTTAAAAATCAGACTGAATCTACAAAGAATCATCATCTACAAAGAAATATACAAAATCTACAAAGAGCCTAAAAAAACATGCTAATTTGCAGCTTGGAAGGGTAACAGATGCAGAAAAAGTTTATAAATGTATTAAGTTGTTAATTTGATTCCATCGTATAAAAATAGATAACGAATCTTTCCTGGTACGTTAAATTCATATCAGCCTAAACATGTAAAAGGGCCTAATAAACCTTATAACTTAAAAACGAGACAACAATAAAGATGTATATGAATATCACTTCAAGGGTATTTGTCTATTTTGGTCTAACCTGAGCTAGTGTTACGAATAGTACATACTTTGCCATGTAACGGAGAAAGAAGGTCTTCGCCATTGGAGACAGGCTCCCCTGCCTGTCATGAATGGTGATGATGGCCATGGTGAAGAAGAGGAAAAGTCCCATCAGCGCCATGCACACGACGATCAGCGAGGCTGTAACAGCATCCGTGGTTAACAGTTACCGACATGTTCCGGGAATATTTATCACGGTTAACAGTTACCCTAGTAAGCAACCTAAGCACAAAATACTAATGAAATCCAATGAGGACTGTAAATCTGTTTTGCTAAGACTACACCCGCTCTCGAACCACTACTTATAGATGGACGGACACTAGCGACAGTTGTTCACATCAAATTACTCGGTGTGAAAATACAGATGATCACCGTACCGTAGCAAGCAGAAAACTGTACTGTTATCATCGTTGTAAATGGCTATTAATTCAGAATTAGTTTTTGCAAAAAGATAAAGTTTTAGGTTTCAAGTTCCAAGAATTACCCATTGATGTTCGCTTACTTTTTTTATCTTAACGGAGTCCGGCCTGGCCATGAGGAAGGTATCTAAGGGTTTACTTAATGTCGACCAGATAAATTCTACGTACTTGGGTTGAAATGCACAAGTGGCAGAAAACCAGATGAATGGAATCAAGAAGGTATTTCAGTTTCAAAGTAGTTTAAAATTCTAAACTAAGGAAAACATTTACAACATGGTCGCATCTATATGTTTACTCACCGAAAAATGGCAGCGCCCCCTTGACAGGAAGCACATCCGTCACGAACACGAGAGACACGACCACGGAGAGTTGAATGGTCACTCCGAACGAGATCCGGTCCCCCCTGTCCAGTGGCATGACGAATGTGATGACCATCAGCGCCACCAGGATGACACAGGGTCCAACAGTAGTGGCGATGTGGAACAGCGGGATCCTCTCCAGCTGAACAGTGAAGCACGCCTCCGTCTTGTCTTTTGCGAAGATCATGTCCTTCCGGTACCATTCGCCCTCCAGTTGTTGGGTAGACAGGACACCACAGGGACTGCCATCTTGGCATTCTGTGATCGACAAATCATTGCAACAAACTATCAGCAAAAATAACTTTTTCATCACAAGGGTAGCCAAAAAGTCTGAACACAAAATCAGATTTTATACTGACAAGAATCCGATTTTCCTTAATTTTTACATTGTATATGGGAAAGAACATATATCAAAACTATACTATAATCACTGAAATATCATCATCATTATTATCATCATTGGTAAACAGTGACCAAAATATTCCTGGAATATAGTAAGATGTAGACAGTGACCGGGATGTTCAAGGTGTGTCAACCGTGACAAACAGTTGCCAGATCGCTCCCATAAAATATTATATTTAATTTACATCATTTTTTATTTATTGATTTATATTCATAAACATTATTTTAATATCGACATCTTTTTTATAAAATATTTTGAATTTCATACCGATGGTTGCAGAAAATGCAGCAAAGCAGATGTTGCATTCCATGGTGTCTGCAGGGAAGTAGAAAGGGTCCGCATCACACACGGTGGTGGTCAGGGTTTCTACCCTCCAGGTTACCTGGCCATCGCTACTGATCCAGACCGGTACGATTTTTGGTAGGCCTTGGTACAAAGGATTAGCACTGTGGAATAATCAGAAGTTTTTTTACAAGTTAATTACAAGTTAATTACAAGTTAATTACAAGTTAATGGTAAGATAACCATCATCTAGTGTCAAACTGATTAAACCATTCCTAGCATTGTATCCCAGTGTCAACAAAAATATTGTCGGTCATTTTGTTAGTTATATTTTAAGGTAATTGTGTAATGTTTGGCACTACAGGATCATTTTTATTTAACGGGTACTTTAAATGACATACAAGACTTAAAATCAGTGTTATGTTATTTTCTTTAATTATCTTACATCAAGTCAAGTAAAATGCTATTTTCTACAGTTCAGGACATTTCATGATTGAAAATGAGCACCATTTTATAATGGATTGTACACTATACAATGATAAGCGCCTATTGCTGTTCACCTTTCTTTCCGCTTGTCCAATTGATTTCAATACGTTAGATGCTATAGATAAATTCAACTACATTCTCAGGGGAGATAACCAATACAGTGTTCAAATAGGAAAATACATTAAAGAATGTTTCGATCTTAGAGACCACATGTTAGAGAATGGTTAACCTTTATTGTTGCATCATACATATACTCTGTACGTAAGATGACGTTATCCACACATGTATGTAGCTTTGTTAGATCTTTAGTTAAGTTGTAGAAGACCATACAAAAGTCTCTGTACTTTTTTGTTGTGTCAATAAAGAATCCATATTTAAAAAACAACAGATCAGGCATGGTTCGTTTTCGATTCAATGATAATAGTTTTAAAAGACACTACATACTTCCCCTTCAGAGTAAATGTAGGGGTCCAGATGCTGCTGCCAGGGACGCTGATAGTCTCGATGTTGTCGTAGTACTTTGGATCCCAGCTCAACCGGCTGTCCTGCCATGTCTGGAGTAACAAGAAACAAATTATTACTGTGTAGGTGACAGCAAAGAATTATACAGCAAAAGTATGATGATGATAGCAAAACACATAAACCTTGTAATAAAAACGAAACATGATCATTTTAAAGCGATATTATTCTAAGTGCACAGATATTTAATAACTACGTGGACTTACGAAATGGATGACGACAGAGGCAACCAGCTGCTCCTTCTTTTCCTCCTGAAAGAAAAGTTACAGCATCGGTCAGTTATGTTTGATCCCTCCACGAACTGTCTATTTGTCATAAACTAGCGAGGAATTGAAATGTGTAACAGATACTGAAACTCACCAAGTCGACGATCTGTTCTACAGATCCATTAAAGCTGATGACGGGTCGGATGTGGTTCTCAATCCGAGTAGGGGTCTCTGCCTCGGTCGGTTTGTCAGTCTCAGCACGGTTCCCAGTGCCGGTAGGGTTCCCAGTGCCGGTAGGGTTGTCAGTCTCAGCACGGTTCTCAGTGCCGATAGGGTTGTCAGTGTTGGTAGGTTTGTCAGTGTCGGTAGGGTTGTCAGTGTCGCTAGAGTTGTCAGTGTCAGTAGGGTTTCCAGTGTCGTTAGGGTTGTCAGGCTGGGTACGGCTAACAGGCTCAGGTGCCAGGTTGCGATTGTTCACATCGAGTAGGTCGGCTTTCAGCCTATCCTTGAAATTCGCTGAGGAAGAGACAATACATATCTATCGTTAGGAAGACATATAATTTCCATCTATTGCAGTATGTTTCTAAATTGTTTATACAGGTCTACAGAACTGTATAAACAATTTAGAAACATACTTCAATAGATGGAAATTGAGTGTTAATGTAACTGAAACCAAAGTTCTTATATTTGCGAAGGGAACACCAAACAAATGTCTAAATAGATTCTATATATACGGAAGGGAAATTGAAGTTACCGACAGCTACACTTATCTCGGTAATTAAAACCGCCAGAAAATATTTAAAAACTAAAGCAATGAGAGCGCTATTCAAACTTAAATCCCTTTTGTTTTCTAAAACTAACGTACATTTCAATTCAATTAGCAAAAAGCATTTTCAACAAATTTGTGAAGCCGATTTTTCTATATGGATCCGAATTAACATGTTTCGACCTAACATCTAAAGCACTAAAACTTAATGTTTCTACCCGTATTTCAGAATCCACACCAAAAAACATTTTTTCCACTGTATTAGAGAAACTTGGTATAGAGGAAAACATTCCTGCTTCGGTTAGAAAGAGTTTAAGCTCCACTTGTGCCCACACATATATGATTCATTTTGAAAGAAGGACAGATAAGGACATGTTTTTTTTAATCTAGCGTCTCGTCTAAAATTAGAAAACGACAACTTTTCAATTTAAAATATACATCTTTCTCAACATATTCCAGAATTTGATACCATCGATATGAACTTTCAAAAATTTTTACTTAGAGTTAATACAAAAGCATCAAATGATGGTGTTCGTGGAGAACTAGGAACCTTTCCAATAATAATAGATACTGAAATACACACAATTAATAAAATACTGGCATCGTTTTGTAAACTTGCCCGAAGACACCTTACTTCGTGAAGCATACGATGTTTTACATTCTGGTAAACACGATTGGCTTAACCACGTAAACGACATTCTGAATGACAATGGTCTTGGACAATTCTGGACGAACCCCGGGTCGTACCAGGTGGAGGCGATAACCAATTAATAACGATCCCGCCTTCAAGATATATACATTGAAAAATGTAGTTTTCTACGGAGCGGATTTCTGAGAAATCTTCTTAAAACAAAAACCAGATGTGCCAGACGCGCTGTCAAACGTAGTGCGATCTGATTGGTCCAGGCGACGTGGGACGCTTGGGACGATAGCGTCCCCTCTTATCTTACCCTCAGCCCACTTCAGCCGCGAAACCCTCGCCACACGGCTGTTTACAAATTTTACTCTTTTCAAGCGATTTCAAGCGATTTCCTTCTCAAGCGATTCCACTTGGATTTTCGGTCAGTATCGAGCGGACGGAGAAACTTCTTGTTGAACTTGTTGAATTTGTTGAACTGTCAGGACTGCAAAACTTCGTTTGCTGTTTCCTTCTTAAGCATTTCCACTTGGATTTTCGGTCAGTATCGAGCGGACGGAGAAACTTCAAGCGATTCCCTTCTCAAGCGATTCCACTTGGATTTTCGGTCAGTATCGAGCGGACGGAGAAACTTCTTGTTGAACTTGTTGAACTGTACTGCAAAACTTCGTTTGCTGTTTCCTTCTTAAGCATTTCCACTTGGATTTTCGGTCGGTACCGAGCGGACGGAGAAACTTCTTGTTGAACTGAGCGGGAGTCAGTACTGCAAAACTTCGTTTGGTGTTGTTGGACCAACAAATCCGCCGTGAATTCTCTCGTTGGAGCGGGAGTTCTTCTACACCCGCCCGCTGGCCCAGGACACAGGCACAGATCCGTACACAGCTCCCCGCCCCGAGGAAGTCTTGTGAGTCCAACTCTCATGGATCCCACCCCTACCCGTATCTCTATTTCTGGACATTCCTTTGTAACGCGCCTCCGTTCGTTTGTTAGAAAACGCACTTCCACGGCTAGCGGGAGGGCCGTGTCTCCCGACTTCTGGCTATCTGATGTAGACATACAGTTTAATGGTCTCCCCGGTTGTACGATACCTCGCTATAGATCCAACATTCTCCCAATCCTCAGAGACAGCCGCCCCAACATAGTATATCTGGAACTAGGACACAATGATTTATGTAGGCCTTACCTCTCCCCCAGTAGGATAGCACACGATCTGGCGTCTCTGACGAGCACTATTACAGAAATTCCGTCAGTACATGCAGTTATCGTCGGGGAACCGATCTGGCGGTCCAAACTACCTCCATACATGCCTAACTTCCATGATCGCCTCCAAGAATTCCGGGAGACACTTTGTCCCCTCATTGACTCCATCCCAAAAAGCCACCACATGGCGGCATTGCAAGTTATGGCAGAAGAACCTGAATTACTTTGTCGCCGACGGGCTACATCTGTCCGATTTCGGCCAGCTTCGGTACTATAAGAGTGTACGTTGGACCATCTTGCCCCATATGCCGACTCGCTAACTGTACACATCTTTAATATAGTTGCACTTGAGCAAATTTTATTATATAATATTGTTCCTATTCGATCTCATTTCCCTCTCTCGCATTTCGCTTTTGTGTGGTGTGCTGGATTGGCTCACAGCTTTAAGTGAGCCTTTGGCGGCTATGCTGACCTTTTGTAACCTTTGCACCACCTGAGGTAAGGGGAATTCCCTGAGGGTCTTACTATATATACATTTTGATTTGTTACCATTATGATAACATGTTACAATTTATACTTGCCTAGCTCAATATATTTTCATGTTCTCGTCCAAGTTCAATGTCATGTTTATGTATATGTACAAGTTCAAGGTCATCTTTATGTCCAAGTTCAAGGCCATGTTTATGGCCAAGTTCAAGTTCGTATACATATGTGCTCATGTTAATTAAACAGTTGTGTTCCGGCCAAACCCACTTTGTCTGCCTGATTTTTGGTTGACCGTTGTGTATACTGTAAACAGGGAATCCGCGTAGTACCAAACTGTTTTTGGCATGCATGGCAAAATGGTATAATTCTATTAGTAACAAGAGTTCCGAGATCTCATACCTCCATGAAATATGGGCTTGCTTTGTTAATTATGTCCTCATTAATTATGCAAATAACCTCTACATTAACATAATATATGCATAGCGATGCAAACCTTTAAGTAACTTACGGTCTCGGACCGGAGTTTCCTTCCGTATTTCGAGCAATTTGACACCCTCAGCCCGACGGGCTGTCATTTCTGTACCAAACGCGGGTCGGAATTTTTCACTCTTTTGGTGGAAAGGGGTGCCGTGCCGCTTATCAATACACTTCATTGATATTTTCTGCGCCCAATTTATTTAGGGGTAAATAAGGCACATCAAAGTACATTTTTAAATAAGGGGTCATTTTTTTCGTCATTTTTAACCATGGCTGCATGGAAAAAACGAATTTTCCCAGGGTAACGGCTTAGTACTCGAAGAAGCTCAGAACCTAATGTTTCCAAAATTTGAATTTAATCAAAATCGATGCGATAAGTTTATCGCTATCTTCGATGGCCCGAACACACCCACAACGCATATAGAACGTACCATCCCGGCGGTCAGGCGAAAAGGCCACATAACCAACCGCGCGGACTAATGCCAGGAAGTCTCCGCTGGCCCACCAACATTACGCCACCTATAAAGGCTACAACTAACAGGCTTTTTGGAAAATACAAATATATGTACACAGATATTACGATTTCAGGGATACCGCGGCCAAAACATACCATTCAAAGTCACGTTTCCGGCGATTTACTGCGCACTTACTTAGACTCTGGTCAGATTTAAACTCCGACCCGGAACCTTACACATGTTACAGGTATAAAATTCCCATCATTCACCAATAAGGATTCACAGAATTTTCACATAAATTATGCAAATTAGGTCATCATTTGCATAATTGGTATCTGTTGATGTTCCGCCTGCCACAGATTAAATAGATTACATGATTGTATAGCAGTACCATTATATGAAACACTGTAATTATAGAATTCCCTCATTAATTATGCAATTGAAGTCCTCATTTGCATAATTTGCATTTAATCATGTACAACTGTCTCTCATCACCAAAAATGATGAAAATACGTTGTTCCAATCTGGACTAATTTGCTTTGAAAGTTTTTACCAGAAACTAACCTGCAGTTCCAGAACAAGCTGCTAGGGGGACCAAACTTACGCCACTTATTCCTGACAGGACAAGCTAGTCAGCAAAAAATCAAGACCATAGCTTGTTCAGGACAAAAGATACAAAAACCAGAAATTCCACTGCAGTACCAAGGTCATCCACCAGGAGGCCCATACTTGACCTTGACCTTTGACTTTCCAAGACTTACCATCATACCAAATATCATTACAATCCATAAAGGCGTTCTGAAGTTATGCTGACTACAAAGTTGCGGAAACACAAACACACACACACACACACACACACACACAAACAGACATACAGACACGCCAAAAACAATACCTCCATTTTTCATGGAGGTAACAACGCAAAACTTTCTGTTTATACCGCATTAAAGGAAAATTATGGACAAAAACAATACCTCTCAAGTATACACAATCTAGATATCCGAAAAGCGTTGTCATAAATCAAACATAGAAACGGGTCAATACAAGAAAATACCAAATGACCAAAGGTTCTTTCCATTTTGTCCAAACAAGATGAGCACCATTTTATAATGGATTAATTGTACACTCTACAATGATAAGCGCATATTGCTGTTCACCTTTCTTTCCGCTTGTTCAATTGATTTTAATACGTTAGATCCTATAGATAAACGTACTCGTACATCTACTCTCAGGGGAGATAATCAATACAGTGTTCAAATAGGAAAATACATTAAAGAATGTTTCGATCTTAGAGAACACATGTTAGAGAATAGTTAACCTTAAGTTTATTGTTACATCATACATATACTCTGTACGTAAGATAACGTTATCCTCACATGCATTTAGCTTTGTTAGATCTTTAGTTAAGATGTAGAAGACCATACAAAAGTCTCTGTACTTTTTTGTTGTGTCAATAAAGAATCTATATCAACAGATTTTTGAGATTGATCATGATGGTATATTTTGGCTTTACATTTTAAATTAAAAGAAATCTAATAAAACTTTATAAGTTTGAATGTTGTTCATGCGTTCGATGTGTTTTAAATTTAAAATACTTTTGTGAATTATGACTATTGTTTATTTCTTTATTTAGGACCTTAACAAAGAATCCTAAGAAGCACACATTTGCTAGGGAGCAAATGCAGCAAATGGCTTCACCACATCCCGCGTACCAAAAATTGATCTGTCCCCCTCCCCACACACAGCCATTTCCAATACTCAATGTTATGGTCATTCTTGGAAGAATCATATTATGTAGTTACAAGTGGGCCCATGTATTTGCATGTTGCAGGTACATAAAACCAGACATGCACCAGACATTATGCCAAATCTTTACAGATGACCCCCATAATCATAGGAAACAATGTCAATAAAGGTCAATGACCTATCACACTGCTACATATATCTGTAGCTAACTTGGTTGAAAGACTTTTTAAACCAAATTTTACAAAAATGTTTAAAAATGGCAAGGTATATAAAAAAATATAGGTTATGTGTCATATTTCCATTGATTTATAACTTAGTTCCCTCCTTTTTCCTGGCCAAAAAGACAAGTATGTGCCACCACGCAGGTCTTTTTTTAATTAATTAGTAAATAGCCAAATAGGAACCACATCTACAAACATGGCCACACTCGCTACTGTCTTTTTGCTCATATTTGGACATGGAACCCCTGCCCCCATGCCCAAATATGGTAACACTCTAAATATGGTAAACCATACTGCTATAGTACATTACCAATGACACAGCCAAGAAGTCCAAATTAAACCATTCTAAAAGCCTGTATTAAGAATATGACTAAAAAAACGTCGTTTGGGGGTGGCCGGTGATAAATAAAGATATTGAATGCATTTGAAGACTTGACATAAAGAGGAAAAGAAAAAGTAGGAACATGAGGAAAACATTATATCTTCACTGTATCCCTACATGGTGACACCATAAAAATGAAACATGACAGTGCAAAGGAGGTAGAAAGCCTAACTTTCTCGCTCTTAACTAATGTACATAACAATTGGAAGAATATTCAAAATAAAATGTTTTAATAGGTTTGGCAATAAGAAGGACTAAGTTATTCTTCTTAACTGCATCAAATTAAATTGTGCAAGTGTAGAAAATGCAGGCGTACTCAGACCTAATAGTCATTCACCTGAACAACTGGGCTTGTCATACTGCCAGAAGCCTCCTTCGATGCATCTCACTTCGGTAGGATACCCGGGCTTTATGTAGTACCCCTCGTTGCAGGTGAAGGCGATCCTTTCTCCCACGTAGTAGAACCTCTTCATAGGGCTTCTATTGCCGTAGTCAGGAGGACCGATGTCCCAGCAGCCTCTAGTATCTGAGTTGGCATAGGCAATGGTAAGGTGAAGCAATCATTATTATGGAGAAAGGGACCAGAATTGAAATCCGTATAAAAAAAGAGACCAAAGATTTGGCCTGGAACAGAACAACACAGAGTTACCAGCTTCACAAAACATCTCTAGATCACTCCTACGTATTTTGTTCTTGCATAAAAATAGTGAAAGGCACAGACACATGTGAGAGACTGAGAGGAATGCCTGTGACTTTGTTAGCTCTATATTACTAATGAGTGAATATCGTCAGATTAGAGTTGTCTAGTATTTTAATATAAAATGTCTGAGAACTACGGACATAAATCTCGGGTGTGGTCTCGGGAACAAGGTATGGTTCTTACTGCAGGAAACGACGTCGCATTCCTGCTGGCTGCCATCTTCCACCAGACAAAATGGCCGCCCCAGACCGGTAGGGTTACGGCAGTAGTTGTTATCCATGTTAGCCCAGGGGTACGCGGCTGTGTAGAACCCTTCCTGCGCTGCGGACCACTTCACACACTCTCCCCCGGACTTGGCTGTACTCCGTGTGCCGCGGTAGTTCATGCCGCCACCGTGGTAGCAAACTGAGGAGAGAAAAAACGACCACAAATCAGCAATTTATCCTACAGGTAAACAAATAAATGCACCTCTAAGTGCATGATTGTACTTAAATACCAGGGAATGGGAACATGCCAATTACAAATGCCACTGCCAGCGCAGCGGAAAGTCATGAGTCTATTTTCTCTTTACCTTCGCCGTTCCTAGTCGCTGGTTCAGGGTTCCAACAGTTTTTCCGTGCTGTGGTGGTGGAAACAAGTCACAGGTAGGGAACCGCTTCTTCATCCGGGTATCAGCCATGTTGAGGACTTCCTCACACCACGAACGGCACGGTAGCAGTGGTTTGTTCCTAAATACACAGACATGTTTAGGAATATTGACATGAGGTTTTCTTACTTTTTAAAACACACAAAAAAGAAAATGCAATTTAAGCACGAACGTTGACGTTTCATTTGAATATGACCGAACTTATTCCTAACTATAACTGTGGAATTATAAAACTTATCAATACTAATAAAGTAGCATTTAAAACATGCCTCGGCGACGTGATTCTCTTTTGATGTAAGTGATGATCATGAGGTCTGTTTTGGTTATAGTGTGCTTGTTTAAGGATGTGGGCCAGTCATAAGTTTCTCACGAGGATTTAATAATAAAAATACACTTGAGAAATAAGGGTATTCTAGCGTATATTCATAAATTATGCAAATTAGGACCCAATTTGAATAAATTATGTTTAGTGATGTTCACCTTCACTGAATTTTCAGTATGGCAAGTACTAAATTCCCAGCAATTACCACTATAACATTGTATAGTTCATATTAATTATGCAATTTAGGTACTTATTTACATAATGGATATCTGCTTAAGACCTTGTCTTTCTCAATTACAAATGTCACAAGTGTTTTATAGCTCAAAATTTAATTCCCTATTGAATGCTTTACGTGGAATTCTTAGAATATTTTCAACTCAATCGCAGTACTATTCCAACGGCTCCACCCCTGAGGCGTCGTCAAAAAGCATGATCAACGTAACGAAGCATGTTTTACTCACATGCAAGAGGTCGCGTTGTCTGCATGACGAGACAATGAGCAGGTAGTGTCGTTCTCTTTGGGGACAGCACATTGCGGGAAAATCACTGTAGATGCGAATTCCCGGAACTCGGGATGTCGGTTCTGTCCGTTTGTGGGCGAACTGATGAGCAGGTCCACAGCAGATGAATTCTGTATCTCTTCAAACGTCGTCTGACCCAGCTGATTGGGTAACATTGTAAGTCTACCGCCGAGGTTAAAATCCACAGGAATCGACAGGCACTCTGCATATTACAAAATAGCCATTGTACCATTCACATTCTTTAAACATCGACAGGAGGCACTGACAAAGATGTAAAAATGATCCATCAAGAATTCTGCCCGAAATGCAAGTTGAAACTTTTTTTGGCAGCATCATGAAATCATCGGACTTTTACCATAATAATGATTCTATTCTTTTATTTCTATTTATTTTCTTGTTACTTTCAATTTTTTAAGCATTAAGAGCCACGACAAAACAAATAGTATAGTCAACAGACTTTGGATGATGGGAGTTAATATTGTGAGAAAAGCATGACGGTAACAGGAGTAAATAATGCTTAATATCAAGACCTTCTTCCCTTGGAAAGAAAATTGAATTTACAAGTAAGGTTATTGTACGAGCAACTGCACGTGCATGTGAAAACTAAAAGGACTTTGTGAGAGCAGCTTACCACAACCGTCCTCGTCACTCCCGTCCGAACAGTCCGTCCTCCCGTCACACCGCCTCCAGGTCAGGGTGCAGGCATGACCGTGTCCGCACCGGAAGTACCCGAGGGGGCAGCGGATCGCTGTGTGAGGAAACAGCCTGTTAGGTAGAACTGTAACATTTGCAATGTCACCGTAACATGGTCCAGCCCAACAACTGATCTGGTTATTTTGACTTATAACAACGAGGTTCAGGTTGATAGTGACCAGCCCCTCCAGTTTGTTCAGTCATATTGTTACATAATTTATTCCAACACCATATATGGTGCCCAGTCCCTGGAGGTCGGCCCTGCCACATTGCTCCATCAATATAACCGAACAACAAGGATCACTGTGAGACAGGAGGGACAACCGTGTGGTCCGGGTCATTGATATTAATTTGGAGTTGAAGGAGAGAAAAAGGAACAAAATAATGTTACTAATTTGCGGAGGTAAAGTTGACATAATTTTGACATACCTTCCTTCAGCTGGCAGATGAAGTTGGATGCGGACGAGCACGGCGCGTCGTTCCATCCGGCCCCGAGGTGGTTGACACAGCCTCCTCCGTTACTGTTGGGTTCCCCCGGCTGCCAACCAGTCCAGTCTGCGGTTGGGCTGTATGGAGTCCCGTCTTCCCACGCCCACCCTCCTTCTCCGTTCTGATTGTTCAGGCCCAACCAGAAAGGAGAGTTGGGATCCACGGCGTTCTTGAGGTCCAACAAGAAGTCGTCCACTTCTCTGTCCTTCGGCATGGCGAGGAGCCCCCCGTCCGCTGCACACACCTGTCTGGCCTGACTGTAGGTTTTGACTTGGTTGTATGCCTTGAAGCACGAATCCCCGTGTGCGGTGTAACTCACTGGACAACCTACAGAAATATTATATCCTTTACGCTTTGTAAAAATCAAATTCATACTATTTTAGGAAACTAGTTCATAACTGCATAGAGAACTGGTATCCTCTATACAATAACTCTCAGACTCGACTTCTTCTCAACAAACCAGTCACTGTTAAACTCTCCCACTCAGACTCGACTGGAGCAATGTGATTTTAAATCGGTTCCCATTGACACTGACAGAAACAGAAATTGACACAGTATTAGGTCTTAACAAAAAAACGCATTGCCGAGTCTTTATTAACTACTTACCGCCTTGAAATAGCGCAGTGACCTGAGCCGTGCTTAGCTCCACAGTCATGGGTGTGATGACCGGGGTCGTGATTCCCTGCACAGTCGAAGGTGTAATGACCGGGGTTGTGTTTCCCTCAGCAGAGGTAAGTATGATGACCGGAGTCGTGATTCCCTCGGCAGTCGAACGTGTAGTGACTGGAGCTGTGCTTGTCTTCACAGTTGTTGTTGCTGGTGATGTAGGGATCACTGAAATGTTTGAATAGAAAGCCGAGCAGTTCAACTGTGCACCACGTGATGTGGACACCACGATATGTACAATATGTACCAAAGATGACAATTGCTAATCTTAGGATGCACGTCTTACATTTCTTCATTAGGACACAATAATATATATATATATATATATATATATATATATATATATATATATATATATATATATATATATATATACTATATATATATATA